GGGCTGGGGCCTTGAGATGGTCTAGGGCCTGAGACTGGGCTGGGAGCTGGGGCTAGGGCTGGGCTGGGGGCTGGGGCTGGGGGTGGGCTAGGGCCTGAGGCTGGGCTGGGTTGGGCTGGGCTAGGGCTAGGCTGGGGCCTGGGGCCTGAGCCTGGGGCCTGTGGCTGGGCTGGGCTGGGGCTGGGGCCTGGGGCCTGAGCCTGGGGCCTGTGGCTGGGCTGGGCTGGGGTCTGGGGATGGGCTGTGGATGGGGGATGGGCTAGGGATAGGGGTGGGGGATGGGCTAGGGATAGGGGTGGGGGATGGGGGGATGGGGGCTGGGTTGGGGCTGGGGCCTGGGGCCCCGAGCTTGGGGCCTGTAGCTGGGCTGGGGCTGGGGCTGTGGATGGGGGGGGGAGGAGGGGGGGATGGGCTGCCCTGCCAGTCCCTCGCCCCTTGCTGAGCCAGGCACCACCTCTCCTGCTGCCAGTGGCCACCACACCTGTACGGCGGCGGCGTGGACGGCACCAGGGCACCTGGCCAGCTCTTGTGAAGCCACAGGGCCGGTCCTGACTCCAGGGCAGCCGTCAGCTGAGCTGTGGGTGCATAGGACAAAGCCTTCAGGCCATAGCGACCAGCGCGTGTGCGGCCGCCACGTGGGTGTTCCCCTCTCCACCGCGGCCGACGCCATCACTAGGCTCCCACTAGTATCTGGAGACATATGGCGGCATTAAAAAATACCAGCGTGTATTCTCCATTCCAGACACAAGCCTGGGGGGAGGCTCCTCTCTGGAGTCCCCTGGGGGACGAGTTCACCTCTACATACACCTGACCCTGCAGAGAGAGTCTGCACGTGTCAGGCCAGGACAAACACGGCCCCAGGTCAAGCAGCCAAAGGAATGGGAGGGACAGAGGCGCAGTTCCGGGTGAGCCCCGCCCTGGCCAGCGGGGCTCAGGATGGCAAGTGTGGGAAGGGGTCTGGCACTGGCGTCGTGCGGCGTCAGCATCGTGGGCATCATCAGAATCACCATTGTCTTTGCACCGTGGCTGTCATCATCACCACCAGCACTGGGGTCTCCCTGGTGCACAGGGCCCAGGTCCCTTCCAACCTTCAGACAACAGAGCAACCACGTCCATCCTGCCTGCAGCTCTGCGCTGGCCCGAGCCCTGGAACAGCCGGGGACTCGGACGCGAGCATCAGACTCACACCCTCCTCCCTCAGACACTCACACCCTGCTCTGTCAGACACACACCCTCCTCCCTCAGACACTCACACCCTGCTCTGTCAGACTCACACCCTCCTCCCTCAGACACTCACACCCTGCTCTGTCAGACACACACTCTCCTCCCTTAGACACTCATCTGTGTTGTCAAAGGTACCAACAGGTTTTGATGAAACCACTGCCTTACAGTATAAAGGTGAGACTGCTCTCAGCCACCATCTCAGGCTGTCCCTCTGCAATCACAGCGAACGCCACGGCCAGTGCTGATGGATAACACGTTTCAAGATCACTGTCAACCAGGCGGAGCCTGTGAAGGGGACTGTTCACTATGCACACCTTTCACCCACCCCTCCGTGCTTTGTCGCTTTAAACCTGAGCCCCAGGTCTGCGCCC